GATGATGATGATGATGATGATGATGATGATGATGATGATGATGATGTTGATTCGGATAATTATATTGACGATGATGATTCGGATGATGATGATGATGATAATGATGATTCGGATGATGATGATGATAATGATGATGATGTTGATGATGATGATGATGAATTTTTCGGATGATGATGATGATTTGTTCGATGTTGATGATGAGGATGATGATAATGATGATGATGATGTTGATGATACTGATGATGTTGATGATACTGATGATGATGATGATGATGATGATGATGATGATGATGATTCGGATGATGATGATGTTGATGATGACCTAGTATTGGTGCTTTGAATTAATACCGAATATTGAGTCTGATGCTGCCAATGATTCATTTGACTTGACAAACGGAAGATTCTGCTTTCGGGAAGTTTGATCAGTTCTGTATAATATCGCGTGTCTCACTCCAGTACTCACAAGTAAGTGGTAGTCGAATGAGAACTATATACATGCCCTCACGAACTGAGTGTAGAATAACAAGTAGCCATTTCAATACCAAGGAAGTTTCGTCCGTTGTCTTAAATGTGCGTTTTGATCCACACGCTCAAATTGAAACACTTCANTCAATTCACACGAGCCTATGAAAAAAAAACAGTCTGTGACAATGCACTTGAAGTCGCGTGAGTCAAAAAGTTCGGCGGTTGCTTTGAGAGTTTGTCATTGATCGATGGAATGCACTAGCAGAGTGCCGTAGAATTAAAACATACCCTGATCCCGCCGGGTTGGCGTATATCTTCAATTTCCCTCGCTTAGTGGTCTTTCTTGGTTAAAAACTATTTTGCACCACAAATATCTACATTCACGGAATAGGATCGTAGATCCGGACACATTAAGTGAAGTTACTTGCTACCCGCACAAAACGTACTAACGCGCGCAGAGAAATACAAGCAGGTGGAATTCTTTAAATAACTCAGTTCCGCTATACTACTGAATTGCCCCATATTGACTGAAATAAAACTGCGCTTATTCTGTGCTCGGAGAGCAAGCATTCTCACTACTTCGCAAGGCATTATAGACAAAATGAAATAGGCCTTTGCATATAATATGCGTGTGTAATACAAACCACTTCATGGGTGGTGCTCACCTATGATTGAATAAAACGATCGTTGAAATCTGAGGACATCCGCAAATTGGAGGGTTTTATCTAATGCTGTCTGAGCATTCTCNGAAGTACAACGACAGGGTGGGATCTCCAAAAGTGTGACCAGATGGTGCTGCTTTGAAACCGATAAACTGTCAACAGTAATCCAAACCAGCCATCTCTTTCCACATCAGTTCATTCATTTTCTTCGGCTACCAGAGAGTGGACTGTTGAGACGCAGGTAAGCTCTTCGAGCCCACAGCCGTCAAAGTATAGATAAATCTACCGCTTGGAGGATCAAATTATGATGTGGATTAGCAGCAGCGTCATCATCATCAGCAAGATGATGGGCCCCAATGGAACAGCAACTAACTGTTTGTGCATTTACATTAGGATTTGACTGAAGATCACCTGAGAAAAGACTAGCCACTGTCCGAGATGGCTTAAGAGCCAATTCTCATTCTCAAGCGGATTACAGTCGAGTGAGATCGAAAGTGAAGTAACCGCTGCCT